CAAGTAGAAGTCTTGTATAAATTCTAATAGAAATAAAACTCTAATATTTTAATATGAATATGAGTTTCTAAATCTTTATTCCCATAGATTCTTGAAAGATTTGATAAAAAGTTTCCTTCTTATTTTAGCAAAAAGAAAGTTTTTCTTTAACAGAAGTCTAGAATTTTGTTCTTTAGAAGTTGATGCAGTGAGAGTAAGTAGCTGAAATGGTAACAATTTCATGAAAGCAGGAGTCCGTTGAAGGAAGCAGTTTACAGATTCAGAGCTCGAAAGTCACTCGATTCTAATAATAAAAGTCCAGATCAAACCTAAGGTAAAACTATTAAAACTTTAGCTAAAATTAGAATGAATCTTTTTAAGATCTTAAAAAATCGTAGGGATTAATTGATGATTATGAATAAATACTAGGATATACAATTGAAGGATTAGATAATCTATTAGAAAAAATAAAGAATATTATCTCTTAACTAGAAAATATAAATTTACTATTTGAAAAATATAGCATTTTAATTAGAAAATATGAAATATATGTTGCAGATTATTCTTATTTATTAGATCATAGAATGAATTTATATTCAAATATTCAAAGTAGAAGATGAAATGTTTAAAAGATTAAGATATATGTTGCAATATAGAAAGAATCATTTCATTAAGGGTAATATAGACATTTCAACAAAAAGAAATAGTGATAGGCCAAATAGAAAAATCTCCCCAGGCAATGCCATAAGGTTGAATTATGGGAAGTCAAAAATGATTATGAACTATTTTAGATTTTATATTATCTTATAAGTAAAAATGTGATAATTGTTATAAACAAGAGAGCAAAATAGAGAAATCAACAAAATTGTGTATTTTATTAAGAACAAAAATCTCATATTTATATACAAAATTAGGGCTATAAGAAATACAACAGTCATAATAACTAGAATTGCAGAAGTTAAAAGTCATTGATAGATACTGTTATATTTACAAGACTTCCCCTTGAATGACTATTTATACAATGACTATCATGTTAAAATATTATTTGGCAAAAATTTGATGGGAAAAAAATACCAACAAATAAAAAAGAGTAATAATAATTTGAAGTAATAAGATGCTGTTTCATTAAAAACTTGTCAAGAAAATTCACTGGGATAAAACTTGATCGAAGGAAAAAGAGTACAACTACTCTCTGATTTCAATTCTTGTATTAATTCATCATTGTCTTGTACGCCAATATCTTCAATATTATAATTTTGGTAAAATATGTCTCATAGTGTCTTGTACAATATTCAAATAACACCGTTTTCATAAGAGATTTTTTATTAACATTTGATAACTATAGTAACATAATACTTCAGAAAATAGTTCTTGTTATCTCTTCGAAGTATTATATATATCAGAGTATTATTTTGAAGACAAATATCTTGTATGTTATTGATATTCATCACACAAAGAATATGACTTATTAGGAAAATCCCACTTTCTCTCTTCTATGCGTGTCCTAGCCTCTTCACTGGGCCTTTACGCTTTGAGAGATCACTCAGGGCTTATTTTAAAAACAGTTTAAACTTTTAACTTGGAGTTAAGACATGCTCTTATCATATACCCAGCATGAAGCATAAAAATCTTTACAAGAATCATAAAAATTTTATAAACAGAAACTGTTCTTAAAAGATCTGGGACTAATATTAACTATTAGCACCATATCTTAGAACAATAAACATACCTACAGGAATGATCCATCTGTAGTTTAAAACAAAATATCAAAATCTCAAAATATTTTTGTGGGATATTATTCTATCTAAGAATAAGAATAATTAAGAATTTCCCTTTCGGGAAGGAAAGAAAATTAGAACATCTTTGAGATAACTCAAGGCTTTGTATTGTATAAATTTTCTCGTGTGTTTACAAATGAAAGAATGATCTCCTTTTATAGGAGAAAAAAGAGAAAGGAAGCGTTTTTCAAAAGCAAGGAATCTTTGCTTTTTTCAAAACGTCAAAAAGAAAACAGTAAAAATCTACTTTTCATACAATAATTCTTGAGATTTCTTGAATTCGGGACACAAAAGTCTTGGATTGATTGAGTCAAATCTGAAAAACTCTTGTCTTTTTTCCAAATGTCTGAGTAATTTCTTATCTTGTTGCATAATTGTGTCTGCCAATACTGTCTAAAGAATCTCCTCCGTCAGTACATCCATCTGGATTTTTTTCAAAATTATCCAAATCTTTTTCTTGTTCAATTTTCTTTTTACCTTTATTTTTCTTTTTAATCTGTATTTTCTTTTTCTTTGTAGTACTTTGTTTAACTTGCTGCTGTATTTCTTCGATCTTTTCAAACATTTCTTTGATTCTTCTGATGTCTGATTGAGAAATCTGTTCTGGATCTTGAGCTGATTGAAATGATTCTGGAAGGTTAATTGGGCTTTTCTGTTTAAGGTCCATTGGACTTATAAGTCTAATAATAGAATTTCCAGTCTGCTGTGTCTGGTCTTCAGAAAAATTTTTATTTTCTGTAACAGGATTTTCAGCCTGTTGAGTCTGATTAAATTGAAAAGTAGGGGAATCAACAGTCCCCTGAGTCTGTTGAGCTTTTGGTAAGCCCAGAACCATAAACGGATTTGATAAGTCTTTACCAGCTTCCGTTTGAGCTGGACTAGCTATAGAATTCTTGGGCTCTATAGTACCTGCTTGTGTCTGGACAATTGGATTTGAAATTTTTAAATTGATAATTTCTTGTTCTAATTCAGAAATTTTCTTTTGTAAAACTAATTTTTCTTGTTGTAAAGACTGATTTGACTCATTTAAAATTTTAAAATTCTTAGTCATACATTCACAATGTTCACAAAATTTAGACGCATAATCTAAAGGCTGATCTAAAACATTCTTTAAAGAGGGAGCAACAAAATAATTAATTCCTATAAATTTTCTACATTCTTCTAATGCTTCTGAAATAGAATAAAATCCTTTATATAGAGGATTTGGAAAATTCTTTATACAATCTGAAACTTCTAGCCAGGTATGATAAATTCCTGGAAGTCTTCCATTTAAAACAACATAACATTTAAATTTTTTATGGTCTTGACTAAAATGTTCTGAAAGAGTATTTAAACATGCTAAAAAATATTTTTGATCTTTTGGATTCTTATTATAAGATATCCATAAATTATCTAAAATGCATTTTTCTGATTTAGTAACTGAAATATGAGAGAGTGTTTTAAAACTAATATTACTGTTTGGAAAACAAAGTAACTCTATATTACCAAATCTTAACTTATCATGAGTCTGTAGTATATTTGTCTGAGAACTGGAACTGCCAACAATTGGCAATCCTGGTCTGGGACCTCTTGGTCTTATATTCTGATTATACTGAGGTTGTCTATGTAAAATTCTTTCTATAATGTTTGTACTTATATTAGAAGTACTATGTCTACCTCTATCATAAGGTTCTGAAGATGATCATACTTCACTAATAGTTCTTGATCTTCCAGGAAAATTATTCACCAGTATTAGTTATTCTGTCTATGAAATTTAACCATCTTCTTCTATTACTTCTTTTATTTTCTAATTTCATTTTATTAACAAAACTTACAATTGCTTTACAATCTGTTCTTAAAGTAATTTCTTTTTTAGAAATAATAAATAATTCAAAAGAATCTAAAGCATAATTTACTGCAAGTAATTCTAAATCTATGCTACTTATATTACCTTTTTCTTTATAATTTCCACTATTATATCTTACAATTTTTTCACTATCTTTATCTGCATATTTATTGGGTTTTGCAATTAAAATTGCTCCCCATCCTGTTATACTTCCATCTGTTTCTATAATTAGAAAATCTGTTTCTAATGGCATAGATAATTTAGGTAAATCTTTTAATTTTTCTTTTATTTTTTGAACTAATTTAATATCTTCTATATTAAAGTATCTTTGACCTTTTGGTGAAGTTTTTCCATATAAAGGTCCTGCAATTTTTCCTAGGTTTTTAATAAAGGGTCTAGCATAATTAACTAATCCTAAAAATTTTTGTAATTGTTTAAGATCTTCAAGTTTATCTGGAAAATCCAAAGCTTTCTGAGCTATATGTGGTTGTAATTCTATTTTTCCTTTACCTATATTTACTCCTAAAAATTCTATATATTCTTTAAATAAAAACATTTTCTTTTTATTTATAATTAAGCCATGTCTAATAAATTCTGAAAAAAGAATTTGTAAATGACCTCTATGTTCTCGCCTATTTTTACTAAATACTAAAATAAAGTTTTCAATATAACACAATTGCACTAATAAGACTTTCAAATGAAAAATGTCTAACTTGTTATCGCAACCCAACTAAGGCTACAAAAAATACGAACTCGTGATGAATTATGCAAGTTTTATGAAGTTGAGGAGCGATGAACTGGTGAACCATGAAAAGAAACTTAAAACCTAGACAACACAAGAATCCAAGTTCATTTGCTCACTCAACCTAAGACATGATAGATTCCAAAACTTAAGGGATATATCGAATTAGAAAATGAGAAATAATGATCATGATCAAGCATGGCTCCTTCATCTAATACAACTTCGGAAAACTCTGAGGTCGCAAAAAGTAAAGAATTAATTAAGCATATTCGTCATAACCAAAAGTAATACAATCACTTGTTCATCAACACTAAGTTCTTCGGTGGCCAAGCATGCTTGCCATAAACATTCATTCCGCACTTGACTGACTTATTGCGATTTGAATATTCTCAGGTAGACATTTTTTATGAGGTTTAAGCCTTCCAAAAGATAACAGAGGTGTGCAAAAGTTTCGTGGGCTAGACGAAAATTGGCCCTCAAGACAATAACCAAATAGCATTTACTATAATGGCTTCTGCATAGGCCAGTTGGCAAAACGAGGAAAGGTCCCGCTAAATCGTTCCATGACAGTCAACCTTATGAGTGGCATGTCAAAAACGAGGAATTGAGATCAGGCAAAGTCAATGGAGGATTGTTTTCAAAAGATGGCATGAAATACAAATAAAAAATAAATAAAGATTGGTTTGATGTTACCTTAAATTGGAATAAAAATTATTTAACATTTTAATTTGGGGTACTTTGAGCACAAAAACGGTTAATGGGTCCCGCACTTGCCGTTGATCCTTCTTCATGCTCTTCTTTGCAAAATTTCCAATTCCAACATTACCATGAACAAATCTTCACATTGATAACCTAAAACAACCCTAATTCTCATCCTCATCCCCTTTTCTACGTGAAATCTCACCCTACCCTACCCTTGTTTTTTTTTCCCCCTCCTCATTATCTGTTATGCATGAAATTCTGACGTCATTTTATTTCCACTCGATCCATTGAAACGCAAGAAAGTTCGGATATTCCAAGGTTTATGTGCTGAAAATCAGAATATTTGAAGGATTCATTGAAAAGAGGTGTATTACAGCATTTGATTTAGAGGGTGGTGGCAATGTCTAATTTATATGGGGATTTTAATCAGAAGATTGATTATGTATTTAAGATTGTATTGATTGGAGATTCGGCAGTGGGGAAATCCCAATTGCTGGCTAGGTTTGCAAGGAATGAATTCAATTTGGAATCGAAGGCTACCATTGGGGTTGAATTCCAGACAAAGACTCTTGCTATTGATAACAAAACGGTCAAGGCCCAGATTTGGGACACGGCAGGCCAAGAGAGGTTTGTTCCTTTCCTGCCTCTTCTTCTTAAATAACTTAATCATTTGACCTTCTTATTAATTAGCTTTCTGGAATTTGTTATTATACTAATTATTATCATTTTTCGATGCCATTTTCATTCTAGTTTTACTTCTAGTCCAAAGATGTTTAGTTATAGAGCTAATTAGCTGGTGAAGAATTTGTTGTAACTTTAAATTATTTACAGTTAACAAGAATTCATATGCCAGAAATTCTGATTCCAAGAATGTAGTGGTGTGTTGCTTCTAATAAAGGGATTAGACTACATTAGAAGAAGTTGTTCTTTTCAATATGATCTATTATTTTATGATGCAGTTGGATGTTGAATACGAAACAGGGCAGTGCATTACTCCTGTCTTCCTTTCTTGAATCTCGCCGCCACCCTATATTCTCTCAATAGTAATTTGAAGTTTTTCTCTATTACAAGAGAGACCCTTTTAGGTTAGATATAAGATTAGATAGATAAACTATGATGTACAAGTAACGAAGAATGGAGTAAGGCACAGTCAATTACATGAACCCTTTGTTCTCCATTCAGTTTGCATCATATAAAGGTGTAGTTAGTAATGCTGAAACTATTTTATTCTAAGAAAGACGATAACCTGCATTCACTACTCAATACTTTCCAATGTTCAAACTGGAGAATAACACTCAAGAGCTCTTTGATCAATTGTCGTGTATGATAATTTAGTAGATGACTAAACATGCATGAATTTTAAGATTAGAAATAAACAATCCAATTAGTCTTATCCCAATAACAATAAGTGTTTTACTTTTCCAGTTAATTAATTGATATAATTTAAGCAACAAAATAGAAAATGTGTTTGCTTAATGGGAGAATTCACTGTCTTCCTTTGTGTTTGGCTGCCCCAGATTATAATTAATTCTCCACTCAGCGAAGGTCATGTATGATTGGGAATATGGAAGAAATTACTTACGTGAGTCTCAATCCATGGAAGATTATTTTGCAAGAGGCTTTCTTTTTGCTACAATTAACATTCATGATTGTGTTTGTGTATGTTACAAATATCTTAAAAGACCTGAAATCAATAAGAAATGTCTGATGGCTTAGCAGATTAAGATAATCCTGGCACTGATGTGCATAAAAAGGCATCACGTGTTTATGAAGTTTCATGGTCTGTTAATTATTGACTTTGCTGGATCCATGATCTATCCTGATTTAACATTATGTGCAATTATGCACTGCTAATAACTTGGGAATGTTATTTATGTTTTCTGGGTGATGTAGATCAATTGGAGCGGAGCCACTGTTGATTGGTTAGTACAGTAGTGTACATCTAAATGCTACTTCTAATTGATGGACAATCGAGCACAGACAATGCAAGATGGAATTTGTGCTTTCACTGTGAATTTTAGATTTATTTAACATTTGATTTTGTCGGGCCTTAGAAAAATTGTATGTTTCAGGTACAGAGCAGTAACAAGTGCCTATTACCGAGGTGCAGTCGGTGCAATGTTGGTCTATGACATGACAAAACGCCAATCCTTTGACCACATGGCTAGGTGGCTTGAGGAACTCAGGGGACATGCTGATAAGAACATTGTTGTAATGCTGATTGGCAACAAGTGCGATTTAGGAACACTTCGAGCAGTTCCGACAGAAGATGCCCAAGAGTTCGCTGAAAGAGAGAATTTATACTTTATGGAGACCTCAGCACTCGAGAAGACTAATGTTGAAAGCGCATTTATGACCATTCTGACAGAAATATACCAGATCATAAACAAGAACTCCCTCACTGCCGGCGATGGATTGGATTTTGTGAAGTCCGCATCTCTGAAGGGTACTAGAATCATTGTCCCTGGTCAAGATTCTGATCATAATGCAAGAAAATCTGGCTGCTGCATGACCTCGTGATTTTCTTTCTCGATGGTGACTGTCGAGTTATTTCCTTGCACCCCTCCTTTTTTAATTCTTCACTCTATTAAGAAATACAACGTTTGTTTAGAATAACCTTGCTTTGTTGTATGACGGTTTGTATAAAAAGAGTACTATTATTACATTTTAGAATGAAATGAATACAAGTAAATTGTCATGCTCAGCATATACACAGCTTATTGATGTGTGCTCCTGAAGAAGTGATTATAGTACAGCTACAACATAGTCTCACATTTGCCTTTTGATGAATATGTAAAATATTCCGAAATATTCATAAAATTTGTTTTATATCATGGAGCAGCTTTTGCCATCCATTCTTTGACTGTTACTCAGACAAGAGCTAAACATGTAAGAAATTTGAGACATACCTCCAGCCACATTATTCAAGATAAGAATAAAATCTGCTACAGAATTTCAAACACCAACGAATCTTCTAGCCAAAACCCACTTGATAATTCATTTTAACTTGATGGAATAAAACACAAGACTTTCTTTAGAGAGAGAGAATACTGCAGGAATATTATTATGGGTTTGGCTAGGGACCCTTTGGCATCCATATATAGGCACCATTACACCACTTCCCATCATCATAGAAGTGGGTAGTTAAACAAGGCGGTTAATTAACCCACTTAAATTTAAAGTTCAAATCAAATAATTAAACATGTGGGCCAAATCATTAAACTGTTACGTTTTCTCCATTTGGACTACATGTTCAATGATAAACCTTAAAGTGGGTACTTAATATATGGCCATATGTTGAAACTGCCAATAACTTACTCAAGTAGAATTTCACAATACTTAAATCATGGCGGTCATGTTTTGATAATCAAACATTTCCTTCCATGTATTAAAAGTATGATCACTTCTATAGAGTACTTACTTTATGAATAAACTTCCTATAAGTCATTCAGGGTCCAAACTTTAATTACCACAATGGATATCCAAATTACGAACTTTTTAAGTACACTAGTAACATTATTTCAAATACAAAAGCAACAATCTTAAAAACCAAACATCAGAGTATCATATTGAGCACGCAAGTCTCATATTATCAACTTGAACTTTATAAACTTTAATCGGCAAGCCCTTAGTCATGGGATCTGCAATCATGAGATTTGTCTTGATATGCTCAATGACCACTTCATTTTCCTTTATATGATCTCTAAAAACTAGATACTTTATTTCAATATGTTTTGCTTCGACTTCCACTTTTGTTATTTCTTGAAAAGAAAATTGCAGCTGAATTGTTGCAATAAATCTTCAAAAGCTTCTCTATATTATAGACAACTCTTAAACCTTTGACAAAATTTCTCAACCATAATGCATGTGTTGATATCATGTGGCTTGATCTCATTTCTCGTTCGTTCTTGAACTGTTCATTGGCTTTTATAGATTTTTAATGAAAGTCTCCTATAAATTTTATAAACTCAACTTTTGTAGACTTCTGTAAAAAAACAATTGACTTTTAATATGTATATAAAACTATATGTTTATATTACTTATTCCACATCATCATTTAATTGAATTATTTATTTCTATGGGGGCAGTGTAATATTTTTCTGAATAGCTACTAGTAAGACCAAATAATCTAGACTGTAATAACAAAAATATATTTTTCATAAAAAAAATATTTTTAAAATAATATAAAAAATATAAACTACCTCGATTACATAAATAAATAACCAAAATACAAAGAATAAAAAATCTAACATTTCAGTACATGCTGATGCATAAGAAAAAAAATGAAATGTCTAATGTTTAATATTGTCAATATGTCCAAACATGTAAAAATAATAATAATAAATTAATTAATTAATTAATTAATTAATTAAACAATCAATCAATTTATAAAAATTTAATCTTCCATCTTTCTACAAATTGGGGAAACAGTAAAAAGAAGAGAGAGAAGGAGGAAATGATAATATTAAAAAAAGATTGAATAAATATTTTGAGCGTTATATATATCAGAGTATTATTTTGAAGACAAATATCTTGTATGTTATTGATATTCATCACACAAAGAATATGACTTATTAGGAAAATCCCGTGGGAAAAATCTTAATGAGGGAAAAAATTATGTTATTCCTTTGAATATTCTACAAAAGTTATCTCATTAAAAATCTTGTCAGGAAAACCTTGGTCAAGGGAAAAAGAATACAATGTATATTAACAGTCCCTTATGATAAAATCATATGAATTATGCTTCAAACATATTAAATCATTCAATGATAATATTAAATTTTTATAAGATAAGTTCACTATAATCATATTTATTATATGCATATTAAATTTTATGCATTTAAAGCTAACAAGGTAGAGACTTGTTATTACATCCACTACATAATCACTAATCTATTTATATATGTTTTCGCGAGATTCATTATGTAAAGAGTCGTACATTTCATATTACGACTTTACTTTTTTACATTTTCATTTCGCATAAATATACACATTTAGATTTTCAGATCGTAAACCTAGAATCTCCAGATTCCTTTAGTAAGTTCAATTTTACTATGTTCGTATCTAGAAATTTCAGGTTTCTCTAATAAATTCAATTTTAGTATGATCACGTCATTTTATTTGACAAATCATTACTTCGATCGATATGTTTCGACGAATTTATTTCAATTCTTCGCCATTCATAATATGATGCAGTACATCATATACAAAGGCATTGTCGATAACTTTTTTCTTTTCAATTCTATTTTTTCTCCATAATAACATAACTATTGAGATATCTCAAGTGTCATTATTTCAGGTACCTGAACATCTTTTGAGATTTTAAATCTTATTATGTCTAAATACTCATCAAGAGTATACGTTTCATTCGAATTTTTTTAAATTAGAATCGAATATAATCATGCTTTAGGCTTGCCATTAAATATCATATTTACTAATTATCCTTTCGGATGTTAATTCAAGTTGGAGCATCTAAAGTTGATGTGTGAGATATTATTGATCTCTTTTATTAGTAAATGCATCAAAGTGAATTATCTTTCGAACTTCTGATTCAAATTATCTTTTATGGGGATTTAGATGATGATGCATTTGCACATTAGCTTCAATTGCTTAATTTATCCCACTAATGTTGAGAGAATTGTCCAATCAAAATTGACAATCAATAAATTACATTATCAAATATCACCAATTTGAGATAAGGGTTAAAACTACACATTTCTTCTCAATATCCTTTATTTTCATTTCAATGCAATCTGGTGGATTAATTACACCATTAAGTAATCTGATAAAGAAATTAGGATTTGATCATAAGAAAATATAACAAGGAGAATCATGATATTTGTATGATGTGTAATAACATTCCCAAAAAAAAAAAATGGAAAGAATTTTGTTCTCAGTTAATTGGAGGCGTTTAACAAGCAATATTGTTAAATCATATATCGACATCATAACTAATATTTATTACAATGTTAAGATTTAGGATCACAAATATTAACAAGGCACTATCTTGATCATGTACTTTAAAATCAAGCTCATAATTTAAAATTTGAACAGTAATTTTGCAAACTTCAGGTTGCGAAAGCCATAAAATTATCTATTATTTATATCAAATATATTAAATACAAATAATATTTAGATGATCAACGTGGAGGATGTTGAGGCCACATATATCACACTAATTAACTTTCAGAAATGTAGGAAATTCAGTCCCGATTTTAGTTAGTTACGATAAGTGACCTATTTTCAATAAAGAGAGCAAATAACATATAGAAATTCATTGGATTAAAGAATTTTTTTGTTCTTCGTTAAATGTCCATTTGAATTCTCGTTTCACATTACTATTTGATCAAGTGATGGTTTAACGGGACATGTCAAAAATTAAAAAATAAGAGTTATTGAATTTCTGGTTCCAAACAATATTTATCAAATGGTCACTATAGTTTAGTATAGTGGACCAATTAAAAAACATTATTAAAAACTTTGTAGATTTTTTTATCTAGTGGAAGGCAAATTATTAGCAATAGTAAGTTTATTCCTTCATATCACAAAATATTGATTCCCCTCGAGTTTCAAAACAATATTCTTTAAGAATATTGATATAAATAATATATTACTTCTTGATATAGCATACCAATTAAAAAATACTATTAAAAACTTTGTAGATATTTCAATATAAATATTATAAATAATCTATTATTTTTAAACAAAATTGCAATACTTCATGATCAATATAATATTTATATTGAAATATCTAAATTGTGATTCTTAAAAAATAACCACAAAATCTTCAAGAATAATAATAAATATAAAATTGTATTTACTTCAAAGCAACATAATATTCTTTTAGAATAATTAATTTGTATGAATATTTAAACAATTCTGCTATATTCTTCTAGAATATTTAAATGTCTGAATAATATTTATTCCATAATAATAATAATAATAATAATAATAATAATAATAATAATAATAATAATAATAATAATATGATGCTCTTGAGTAATAACATATTATTGTTTCGAGTAATAATTTTTGTAAGGATTTACTTTCAGGAGTAAAAATATAATTTATTTTAGATTTTATATTATTATGCTCTTTGAGAGCAAATAAAATTTAACCAGATGATTATGCTTATAAAAATTATTGCATCCTAACTAATTTATTTTGATTTTGAGAGAATCGTACTGATAACGTGTTATAAACGAGAGAAAAAAAGAGAAACCAATAAAATTGTGTGTTTTATTAAGAATTAAAATCTCATATTAATAAGGAATAATTACGACTACAAGGGATACAACAGTCATAATAATTAGGATTGCATGGATATAAAAATGATTTATAAATACTAATATATTTACAATAATAATACAAATAGTCTTGTAGAATACTCAGAGCTCGTTTGGTATACATTATTTGGGAAAATAATACATTTTTTCCATCAAATCAACCTACAATTTTTGACTTCAACACTCTAAGGTAGGGCCCATAATGTGATGTTTAAAATGCATTTTTGATGAAAAAATGTGCACCAAACAGGCTCTCAATATTATTTCTCAAATGTATTTTTATGAGATATGAAATAACCTAGTATTTATAAGTGCTAAAGGTTGAGGACCAACACTATAATTTCATCAAGACCAAAAGTGTATGCCTTAAAGGCCCAATCCTTCAAGGTCATTACAAAGTTGACCCATCCCTACTTTAAAAAG